CACCGCTCGCTCCTCTTCAATCACAGCCATCTGGATGCTGTATCTGCCTGCTCTGCTATCTTGTTCACTAGGTTCTTGCGGGTTGCCCCTCTAACCCCAAGCATCCCCAATGCTCTCCAAAGTGACTGTCCTGGGAATCCCCTGGTAGAGAACCTCCACCGGTAGATTCCAGGTTCTCCAACCCCTCTGCTGGCTCTCAGTGAGGGACTGATAGTTCCCCAACTTGCGTTCATGTGCCTCCTCGATCCTTTCCTCCCAGGGTACTGTCAGCTCTATTAGGGCCACCTGTCTTGTTGCCTGGGACCAGACCACGATGTCTAATCGGAGGCTGGTCACTGCAATTTCCTCTGGGAACTTGAGTTGCCTCCCCAGATCAAGTCTCATTTCCCAGTCCTCTGCTGTACCTAGGATTCCTAAACATCTTTCCTCCTTGCCTGCCTTCTCCTCAGGCCTGAGGAAGCAAATGAAGTGGGGACCTCTATCTTGGCCCTTGGTTCTTTTCCACTTCCTGTCCTTTTCCAGTCCCTCAGCCAGCTGTGCGAGCACCTGATCATGGCACCACCTGAACCTCCCTTCAGTCAGTCCTGCCCGACAGGACGACAGAATGTGCTCCAGGTTTGCCGGTCTCTTGCACAGCGCACAGGAGAAATCCTCTGTCAGTCTCCATCTTTGAAGGTTTGTTGGTGTTGGCAGGACATCATACACGGAGCTAAGGAGGAACTTTATTCGATGCCCCTCCATGTTCCAGATGTCCTTCCAACTGAGAGCTCTTCCTCTGACACTTCCCCACCTGGTCCAGCTGCCTTGCTGTTTCATGGCTACTGCCCTGGCTTGTCTACTCTCTTCCTCCACAGCCCGAATCTCCTATATATTTGATGGAAAACATTTTAAATAGGGATGGGGCCGATCCGATCCAGTATCGGTATCGGGACCGATACCAGCGTAATTCACGTATCGGATTTTTCCGATCCAACCTGCGGAGAAATCCGATATTTATGATCCATGTCTGCGCTTTAACGTTGGCTGCTGAAATGACTCTAAAAGGGATTCCTCTGCTAGTCTGCTAGCTGGCTGCAAACTGTGGAATGGATATCCTGAACGGAGGTGCAGCTCAATCATAGACTGTAAAAAATAGGGCTCAATGAGACACACAGACGCCCGCTCAAGAAATCCATTCCGCAGTTTGCAGCCAGCTAGCAGGATAGCATTGAGCTACCAATATGTTCGCTGTGGGGAAATCCTATGGTGGAAATACTTCACACTGGAAACACCGCAGCAGAGCAAGACAGCAAAATGCAATGTTTGCAAAGCCGTATAAATTAAACTATTTGTCTGTGATGCATGTTTGCAATTCGCAGTCCAGAAGAGAAAGAGAGAGAGATCTCTCACGCGGTGCCACAGCACGCACAACACGACAGCCCTGCTTAATGAGTGATGACAGAGAAAACATAGCCTGGTTACACTTTAGATCTGTGATATTAGTCTGATTTCCAAAGATTAAAGAATATATTGAGGTAAAAAAAAAACATTAAACAATAGCCGCATTCTGTGTAGCCAACTTCCTTCCCATCGCGGCGGTGCACTGTCATTTCTCCGTAAAACTCAAACTTTAAGACAGAATCAGCACGATCGGTAATTGTTGTAAAATGCCGTCTCTGCTGTTGCTAAATTGCGGCACGCTTTTAATAATAAAAAGAGCTATTAAAAGCACAAAATTTGCGCAAGAGGGCGGCGCGCGCTCCGAAACAGACAAGCAAATTATACTTTGGGCTTCATATGCGCGTCTAAACGATCAAATGTAGCCTGCACAAAAATGTCAAAACGACCGGCTTGGAGATTATCACTTAACTACGTTCATTTTAGACATAAACGGTTTATGGAAATAGTTGGGAGAAAATATGGTGCATCAGTAGACTATGTAATCCGCACTAGTTCTTAAAGGGGCAGCAGTATAAATGTGACGATTGCGACATTACTGAGAATAAAACAACCAAAGGCAAAGAGAAAATCACTCACAGCTCTTGAATGAATAACTTCAGCTTTAATAAGCATAAATCTATCTATGATAAACTTTGCAGTGCTATTTTACTTTTGATTACTTTATTATAATTCTTTTTAGACGATATACCTGAATAATGTTAGTAGACCTTCCTGAAATTAAAGCACTGTGTAGGCCTGTATAATGCGTATATTTTTGTTTAATTGTCTATCTATTGTTTAATATATCTATTATATATATATATATATATATATATATTGACATAGGCTACATACGTACGTATCATCCTTGCTTGTAGAGAGGTGTTTATTTCAGCATCATATAAAATCAACAATAATGATAAATAATGTTAAAGCAAACACAGGTCTGGTATCGGAAAAGTATCGGTATCGGCCGATATCCAAAGTCAGGTATCGGGATCGGATCGGAAGTGAAAAAATGTGGATCGGTGCATCCCTAATTTTAAACATTACTTTTTGTAATTAATAGGCATAAGGGATAGGGAACAACAGTGATTTTATAATTGTATGTACTTTAGTTAAAATCATTGTACACTCTTTCTGTAGCATTGATTTTTTTTATTTGATTTTTAGCTGGGCCCAGAATTGCATCCAGTCTCTCAACCAGCAGAAGATTTTGTGATACCCTCACCAACAGACACATAGGGAATAAGACAGTTTTTTTTATAACCATTTAGTTTCAGAGCCGCACAGTATACATTATATTGTAGTAATAATTATTTCCCAGCAAAAATGTTTATCATAATGTGTTTGACAGAACGATGCGAGGATGGCATTATTACAGGCTTTGTCCCAACCCTGTTAGGGCATACTGGATTTTTTACACATATTTATGATGCGCATTTACAGTAATGAATGACAAATTGTAATATAATTATATCGGTTTCTACATTTTAAACAACTTTTCACAAACGATGGATACAAACACCCTCTAAACAAACCTGAAAGTTTGGTTGGCACTTTAACCTCATAGGTAGTAATGAGTATTTATAATACCTTCTGGGGACATTGACCTGTATTTTAACTGTCTTTATGGGGACACCTTGTTTAGGGGTGGATTGCATTATTTGCATGATACCTTCTGGGGACATTGACCTATATTTTAACTGGCCTTATGGGGACACTTTGGCTTAGTGAGGATGGAATCCTAGTCCTCCAATGGATAACCATTGGAACTGATATGTAATTTCTTGCTGATATAGTGTTAGTATATTTATACAACTAAAAACTATTATGATCCTGCTACTGTGTTTTGCAAATTATAAGGTGCACCGTAGCAGTTGTCCTATATAGTTCATTGGGTACATCCGTCAGTAAAAACCATTATAAATCCTAAAATATTGTTTGTCTAATTACTTTGTCCGCTGAAATTTGGAGACCATGAATTTAAATGGCTACCCTCATACACTGTCCATAGAATATGGATAGAAACATTCTCTAATCAGAAGTTGGCAATAACCTCAGGTCTTTATGTCAAATCCACTGTGCTTGTGTACAGAGCAAAAACAATAAAATATGTGTTGGCCCCAATACTTAAAGAGCGCACTGTAGATGTGCTCACTGGTTGCTGGATTTGAATTTTTTGTCACATGTCACTCTAGCAAGAGGAAAAGCTTTGTTTCCCCTTGTTTTTGTTTTGTAAGACTCTTATTTAGTCTCAAAGTGCCTAATCTGTTTTGTAATTTCATAGCCTCAAATGATAATTATTTTTTATTGCAGGTATGGTCAGAAATTGACCATGCATCTCCTTCAACCAGCAACTGTGTACCACCACTGGAAAGAACAGAGAGTGTATTTGTAAGTAACAACATTAATTACTTGCCTAAGTCTGTCAATTAGGGTTACATAAAATATCTACCTTTTTAAGTCACTATTCTTGACTTGAGGAAGTTTGAAGTTGAAGTTTGTGGTCTGAAGATCACAATTAACTGTGACAGGGTTTAAAAGGTATACGACTCACCAAGAAATATTTTGATTGTGTACTGCTCTGCATACAACTGTATAATGTCTAAACGTTAAACCAATATGTCTCTAATGATCTTTTTGTAAGAGACAAAACCACGGTAAGATTATTTTTCGAAATGTCATGATGAGAGTGCATTTATACAAGAAATTGGCCCAACTCAAGCTCAGCCAACATGAAATTGTGGGGTATTATTTTTGCTGTTGTGCTCATGTATAAATTGAGGATAGAACGAACAAGCGATGTGTGATGTTATTTGATACCTTCTGGGGACATTGACCTGTATTTTAACTGTCTTTATGGGGACACCTTGTTTAAGGGTGTATTGCATTATTTGCATGATACCTTCTGGGGACATTGACCTGTATTTTAACTGTCTTTATGGGGACACCTTGTTTAAGGGTGGATTGCATTATTTGCATGATACCTTCTGGGGACATTGACCTGTATTTTAACTGTCTTTATGGGGACACCTTGTTTAAGTAGGGATTGCATTATGTGCATGATAATATAATTTGTGTAAAATTCTCAGAATCTTCTACCTTTATATTTGTCATGTTTGACTGATTACAGGTTGCCTTCCAAAACAACATGGACACAGATTCCAGCTCTGCAGAAGATGGGAATGTGTCCCACTCCAATCCCAAGGTAAGATAGATGAAGGCCACAGTTCATAAAAGTTTGGAGAATTCATTAATTTTATCTTGACTGATTTTCGTAACCATTTAAAAGGCAACCCTTTCAATGTTTGATTGATACTTTAGACACATTCATACTTGATAACTTGCATTTATTTTTGCAATTAGATATTGAACTAGATTATTAATCTGTTCTGGTCCATGCCTAAATTCTAATACAATCACATCGCAATTCAAATAAGTTGATCATTACTTTAGAGAAGTGACTACTAATTATAAATGTAGAGAAGGGAAAATCATTGCATACACATAATAAAAATGATCTTTATTTATTTATTTATTTATTTATTTTTTGCAGTTTACAATTTTATGTACTTTAGTTAAAATCATTGTACACACTTTCTGTAGCTTTCTGTAGCAGGATAGAACGAACAAGCGATGTGTGATGTTATTTGATACCTTCTGGGGACATTGACCTGTATTTTAACTGTCTTTATGGGGACACCTTGTTTAAGGGTGCATTGCATTATTTGCATGATACCTTCTGGGGACATTGACCTGTATTTTAACTGTCTTTATGGGGACACCTTGTTTAAGGGTGGATTGCATTATTTGCATGATACCTTCTGGGGACATTGACCTGTATTTTAACTGTCTTTATGGGGACACCTTGTTTAAGGGTGTATTGCATTATTTGCATGATACCTTCTGGGGACATTGACCTGTATTTTAACTGTCTTTATGGGGACACCTTGTTTAAGTAGGGATTGCATTATATGCATGATAATATAATTTGTGTAAAATTCTCAGAATCTTCTACCTTTATATTTGTCATGTTTGACTGATTACAGGTTGCCTTCCAAAACAACATGGACACAGATTCCAGCTCTGCAGAAGATTGGAATGTGTCCCACTCCAATCCCAAGGTAAGAAAGTATAGATGATGGCCACAGTTCATAAAAGTTTGGAGAATTCATTAATTTTATCTTGACTGATTTTCGTAACCATTTAAAAGGCAACCCTTTCAATGTTTGATTGATACTTTAGACACATTCATACTTGATAACTTGATAATTTATTTTTGCAATTAGATATTGAACTAGATTATTAATCTGTTCTGGTCCATGCCTAAATTCTAATACAATCACATCGCAATTCAAATAAGTTGATCATTACTTTAGAGAAGTGACTACTAATTATAAATGTAGAGAAGGGAAAATCATTGCATATACATAATAAAAATGATCTTTATATATTTATTTATTTATTTATTTTTTGCAGTTTACAATTTTATGTACTTTAGTTAAAATCATTGTACACACTTTCTGTAGCTTTCTGTAGCAGGATAGAACGAACAAGCGATGTGTGATGTTATTTGATACCTTCTGGGGACATTGACCTGTATTTTAACTGTCTTTATGGGGACACCTTGTTTAAGGGTGGATTGCATTATTTGCATGATAATATAATTTGTGTAAAAATCCTTTATATTTGTCATGTTTGACTGATTATAGGTTGCCTCAGGTTGTTGGTCATGAAAGTAACATCAGGTAAGGAACCTGTCCAGTAATAGAGGGTTTTCACAACGCGTTATCAATTCGGAAGTCGGACATTTTTGGAGGCACTTAACATAAACAATGAACGGACTCGCACATTTGACTGATTATCTGTTTTTAAGGTGTTTACATGAATGATAAATAAAGTGATCGGGTTGATGTGCGCGTTTATATGTCACAAGATTCAAATCGGAATTGATTATTTGACATGCGCACACTGCACGAATATGCCACTGTTCATAAGCATAAGCATAACTATTCTCCACTATTGGTTCTGTATTTGTTTTAAACAACAGACTTTTTTATCTGTGTTTTTTAATTTGTATCCGTCTCTGGTCATGATTTGGAGACGATGAGCATGAACTGTTTTGCCGTGCTGATTGTATTTATCACGCAGTAAAACCCCGCACCCAAAAGTCGTGTGTGGATGAGAATGTAAAACAAACACTGGTTTGACGCTGTCCTGCTTCACTTCACAGACATGGAGTGAAATGAGAATTTTTTTAATAACGAAACATTCATTTATATGACACTTTATTCAACAGGAAGAACAGCTCGTTCCGTGCGTCATATGTCATTACGCTATTTCAACGTCATTGCACATGCGCAGTTCTTTTAGTTTCGGTTTTCAATCCGATCAAGTGTTTACATGTTCTCTCGCTCGGATTACAAAAGGAGTAAACCACCCCTTTCAATCCGATCGAAATTCTAGTCGGATCGAGCTCAATCGGATCGATTAAGGTGTTTACATGAAGGGTTTTTAGTCCGATTGAGCGGTCAACGGCAGCGACTTCCAGCATGTCTCCTCTAACAACCTGACGTTTACATTTTACATGCCCGGGGAGACACATACCACCCGAAATCCGATCGTTCAGACTGAGGCATGTCCTGGTATTTGAATAGGATTTCAAACCACATATGGATGTAGCTTGAAACGGATTTCATGTGCTTTTTGGACTGACAATTTGAACGTAGCCTATGTCAGGATAAGTAATAGAAGGAAGAATTGCAGTAGCTACGGTCTAGAGAAGCTAGCTCGTTCTGACCTTTACCACATATTAACTTTATTTTGTCAAAACGCTCTCTCCTGCTTGATAAGTCCTTCTCTGTATGATTTCGCACCTACCACAGGTTTTTTCCCGTGTTTTGTTTGTGAAACAATGTGTTCAGTAGTACATGAACAGTGCAATCCATGCTGTTGTTTACATCCGAGTGCCTCCATAATGGCCGCTCATCCGGGTTACCGCCCAGATCGTGACGTCTGTGAAAACCCTCTATAGTTTTTATTTGCTTTATTTATAAAAGGTCAACAACATCATAAAGAATAGTATAAAAAAAATCCAGTCTTGGACCTACAACACATGCAGTGCAATTAATGTAATTTTCTTGTCATTAGTTCCTAGGAAGAGAAAGTGGAGTGAGGTGGAGATTGCGGCTGTAGAAGAGAAAATGATGAAATTTATTCACTCGGGAGTTACTCCTGGAAAAGTCGACTGCATGGCATGCATTACAGCAGCCCCCAAAGCCCTTGGTGAACGAGACTGGCAGGCGGTGAAGTATTATATAAAAAAACAGAATCACAGAATATGAGAGAAGGACCACTAAAAAGTAAGGTTGATTTTGGTTGTTGATTCAGTTTTTGTGTTTTAGCTGAATTATATCATCTGTTTTTTTTTGGTCTCAATACCATTGTTTTTTTTGGTCATTATAATATTATAATGTTATTAATTAATTAAGTTTTGAAAGAGTTAGAGGAGAACTCCGGTCAATTTTAACATTGAGCTCTTTTTTTGTACATTTAGAGTGCTGTCAGTACAGACAAAAATGACAAAAATCAGTGTTGCCTACATCGTGTTATCCTATTTTTAAAATTCGCACCCTGTTGACTTCAATGGGACATGTTCTAAACCTGCTTTTAGCCTCTTAAAGGGTTAGTTCACCCAAAAATTCTGTCAGTATTTACTCACCTTCATGTTGTTCCAACCCCGTAAGACCTTCGTTCATCTTCAGAACACAAATTAAGACATTAAGATCACTCCTGCATACTAGTCCATAGGCTTCTTGAGGGAATGACACTTGCTGGCCTCAAAGTCATTAAAGACATCGTTAAAATAGTCCAAGTGACTACAGTGGCTCAATCTTAAGTTTATCAAATGACGAGAACACTTTTGTGCGCAAAAACAACAAAAATAACGACTTTATTTCAACTATTGGTTTATTTCTCCCTCTGCGCGAGTCAGGTTACTAGTTTAATAGCGTAAGCTTCTGTTATTGTACGTCACACGCATCACACACATGACCAGCGTCGGCCAATAGTGAGCCTACGTGTGACGTAGCTTTACGCAATCACACTACGTTAACTGACTACAGGCCCATGGAGAAGGAAGTGAATAGTTGAAATAAAGTCGTTATTTTTGTTTGTTTTTGCGCACAAAATGTATTCTCGTCGTTTGATAAAGTTAAGATTGAGCCCCTGTAGTCACTTGGACTATTTTAACGATGTCTTTAATGACTTTTCGATGCCAGCAAGAGTCATTCCCTCAAGAAGCCTATGGACTGTATGCAGGAGCGATCTTAATATCTTAAATATCTTAATTTGTGTTCTGAAGATGAACGAAGGTCTTACGGGGTTGGAACAACATGAGGGGGAGTAAATACTGACAGAATTTTCATTTTTGGGTGAACTAACCCTTTAACATCATTGATTTGTCATTACAAGTGCACAGCCATGTGAGTGGTGTTATTAAGAGTGACCACGGTCAATCGGACTGCAGTAGATGTGAAAGATATGAATAAAAATGATGTTAATTCAGCCAGCACACATGCCTGTGTTTACTTCCTGTTTTCAGTCGAAGTCCACAGTAGTCGATTGTCGAGTTCGCGCGCGATCATTGGTAACTAAGCAACAGTGGAGACTCAGACTGTCAGCTGTCAGCCTATGACGGTGCTGTGTGGTGTGCTTAGAACATCAGCTCAAATGGATAGTTCATCCGAATCAGATGTTGAACATCATTTAGTTACTAATGATCGCGCGCGAACTCGACAATCGACTACTGTGGACTTCGACCGAAAACAGGAAGTAAACACGGGTATGTGCGCTGGCTAAAAATTAACATTTTCATTCATATCTTTCACATCTACTGCAGTCCGATTGACCGTGGTCACTCTTAATAACACCACTCACACGGCTGTGCACTTGTAATGACAAATCAAGGATGTCAAGAGGCTAAAGGCAGGTTTAGAACATGTCCCATTGAAGTCAACAGGGTGCGAATTTTAAAAATAGGATAACACGATGTAGGCAACACTGATTTTTGTCATTTTTGTCTGTACTGACAGCACTCTAAATGTACAAAAAATGAGCTCAATGTTAAAATTGACTGGAGTTCTACTTTAAAACAGTTTGATGTGGTTGTAAATTTGGTGCTTGGACTTCCTTGTTTTTAAGTCTGCAGGCAAAATGCTGTGTCAGGGGATGAGTTGGTGTAAATGATTTTTTTCTAATTGCGTAGATTAGTTTTACTGTACAGTAGCCATACGACAGAGTGCCTATAGTTTTCAATACCTTAATTAAAAATGTGAAACGTAAAGGGGACTGAATAGTGTTATGGATTAAATTTTAAATTGATAAATGTATTTTCTGATGGCACATTAGACGAAGCACTTCATAAAAAATATATGTTGTAATATCTGGTGGCAAGCACGGAACCCATACTGTACTGATTAAATTTGGCTGTAAATTCAATTTGTATCAAGGTTGTTTTTATTTCTCTTGGATTGTTTTAATGACTTAAAGATTCAATTCTTAGAGCATTTCAAAACAAGACCAAAAGCTCCATTCCACTGATAACGTTCATAATGTTAGACAATTTAAGAATTGTAGCTCTGATCTTCTAACCTTCCCAAATGTGTTATTACTGGTTAACTACAGGATTCTTAACTTTACTTCAAACATAATACATACTTTTAACAATTGCTTACCATTTATACATTTAATTGGTTTGGTCATTTTTTTTTTGTGTGTGTGTGTGTATCTACTTGTGTGCTCTGTCGGGTTTAGGGTGAGTGAAGCACTCTGTGACAACTTTTTTTAAAGGGCTTTATAATATAAATTAGATTGACTTTGATAACTTTGCTGCTCAGCAAAATCACATTCAATGTATGGCTCTCATGGGTCATAATCAGTAAATGTAGCAACTGAATTGTGTAAGAATGAGTTAAATGCAGTATATGATTGTGGCAGTCTTGGAGGACTGAAATGACTTGCAGTTGAAGATTGCATGTTCAAGTTCATTTAAGTTAAGCTGAACTAACTTATTAAACCACCCTATTTTTAACAAACCAATATAACTTCCAGAAATACCATTATGAATTGGCCAGCTGGCCATATTATGACCTTTCTTTGTCTGTAGATTACACTGGTTTGTCCCCAGATTGGACATCCATGTGTACTTATTGATACACTAGTTGGTCAGGGTTTTGTCCCCAGATGGGATTTCCTGTTAATGCTCATATAAGGAGTTGTCCCCGTGTCCCCACATGTGTTAACCTGACCTGTCCCCAGATTACCACCTACCCTTATTTTAATGAATTAATTACATTTTAAGAGAGATATTTATTAAACTTTTATTTTTTGATTTTTTGATATGTTTATCTAGTCTCTAGGATGCCAGGAAAGTGGTGTCCCCAAAATGTGGTAAATAACTGGTGCCCCCACGAGGCACCCCAAACAAGTATGTGTGTGTGTGTGTGTGTGTGTGTGTGTGTGTGTGTGTGTGTGTGTGTGTGTGTGTGTGGATGATTAATTTCAAGCACGTTTTGGCATTTGTCCCTGTTTATAAAAATCCGATATAACAAGAAAAAAATTTAGGT